CTCTCGGGAATTCGTTGATGTTCAGGGTATTGCTTCTCTCGGCTTTCCATTATTGTCCATAAAAACGGTTTCTTAATCTGCCTGGATCTTTTGCCATTTGGCTTGGGTGGAAATGTCACAGGAAATGCAGCTTTAGAATACATTACCATTAGCGTGAAGTATAGTACTAACGTAACAATGGATAATTTCATAATTTGGACCTAAAAATGAATGAGAAAGTTATAGCACGCGGAGCATAGAGAGGAGTACAGTTTATAAATCGCGCCTCTGTACTCCTTGAAGTCCTTGAAGAGTCTTGGAAATGAACGCKCGTTTTCAAGAGCACTTGAAAAGCCCTTGAAAAACAAAAATCAAAACTCCAGAAATATCGAGACTAAATGTTAGCAAATCTTGACATATATGTCTACATGTTTATTTTGAACTACATGTATTTTTTTTTTTTAACTTTTTAAATGAAATTTTTTGTAAAATCACTGCACAGAACGTCAGGCGGCCTGATTTTAATAAAGAACTTTGAACATCTTTGTCTTAAAGTACATGGGAAATCCTGAGATCGAAACAAATGCGACACGAATACAAACCAAACGTTTATTAGTCGCTTTTACAGCTACTGGACCCTTGGAACTGTTTCACGGCTTTAATGTTTTCAGTCCAGCCGTGAAACAAAACTTATTTCCTCATCATATTGCCTACCATTTGCCTGTATATTTCAAACTAAGATAACTGCATGTCCCACTACACCATCCAACATTATTTGATGCTGGATACAGCATCAAGCATGTTGGATGGAAGTTGAAATCCATCACTATCAAACATTCGATATTCCTTYGTGCTAAAACAGTTTATGAGAATAAAAAGGTGGGAAAGTAAAAAAAAAACTGGAATTCTCGAGATGCTATGTTGTCTTTTTACTTTAAATTGCTTTACTGCCCAATYACATGAAACATCAGTCATCATATTGTGGCAGTTTTTCTTGACTCGAAACTCTGATAAACGACAACCTGTTCATTATTGTAATTATTGCTATTAATATGACAATTAAGAAGTGCAGTGCATACATTATGGCGAAAAATACTACATAAATAGTTCATCGAACTTACCTTTGAAATTTTCTTCCTCAACTCGATATTTTCAGATTTGATGAAAAACTGAAAGCTCAATAAAAAGTGAAAAYGATGCGATAACCCTGGTTAATATACAGTTAATTTCGCGTTATTTACTGTTGTAAGCGGTGATAAATATCCTTAGGGAAGAACCTACTGGGTGAATACTATTTCCTACCGTTTCTTTGCGGCTTTTTTGATTTGATTAAAACAGGATATTGTCTTGTAGTGGACTGTAGTCCCGTAACTTGTTCTCTGGTATAAATAATAAACATTGTACGCGCCTACTTTCCGTACCAGTGAAGTGTTTTTTTGGGGGAGGACACGACACGGCAATGTTACTTAACCGACTACATTGTGGTATAAACCATGTGTGCGCTTAAACTTGGGCCCAAAAACTGATTTTCTCAGCTTTTCGAGGTGTGTGAAAGGAACCAATCCAGATGCTTGTCGATAATCCAGGAAAGGGCGATCGTGTAGTGCACTTGTTTTCAACATTAGAATCGATAATAGCCTGTATTGATCATCTGCGGTTATGCACTCGAAGGAATAAATTCATAAATAGTCATTCTGAATGCCACCGTAATTTAACATTCTAGACTTTTAAACCAAGTACTGGTGGAGTGACCTTGTACGTTCGTCATAATATTCTTTTTCAATGAGCAAACCCTAAGGCACCAAGTCTTTGCGAGGGAGGGAGTACGTTGAGGAAGTTTCCTGGCAGGACAAGTTCCGTTTTCTTTGATATAGGAAAGATGGGGGCTTGCTAGCAGGTGGGGGCAGTTGGAGAAATAAAAACTAGTCTAAACTAGATACGCTTGAAATGACATCGARTCATGCAATGATATGCAAATAAGTAGTSAACATATGCCGAASAGAGTCTGTGAAACTAACAARTTTGACTATTAAATTGTGATAGTCAAATCAGTAGACGCTAAATAGAAAAATGCATATTGAAGCGTAACTAATAAGGTATATTAGTGTAATATCTATATTCCACTGTTTTTTAACGACTTCAATCTAGTCTGTATTGGTGTAAAATAAGTCAACTCACAAAAGTARATATTTTTTCATATATATTTTTCAAAACGGACGGTACCGTTASCAAAACAAATTAAAAGGGACTATCAATTTTGTTGACATTGCCTTGTTTTTGTTTTGTGYATTCAGTGACCGTATTTTCAATTTAAAAGATCAGTTGTCTTGACCTTGACTTTGGTAGCCAGGTGCCGTACACTTTAGCAGGACAATTAAGATAGTAACCATAGCGACACGTCAAGAACAGATCTTCATGTCATTATGTTCAACTATAAAGAAGTTTTTCAGTTCGTTTTTGTGTTTACAATACTATAAGGGACTGCGCAATATTTATCAGGGAGGATTGAGAATCCAGAGGGGGGCATAATCTAATTTTATGTGGCTAAATAGGGGGGGATGGGCATCGTCTAAAATTAACTATAGAATTGGCATAGTAAATTTCGTATGCGAGGGGGAGTAGTGGTAGTTTACTTTTTGGATTTTTTCATGTCTTTTGGGTCATCCGACAACCACCCCCCCTTTCCTGTAACAAATATTACGCAGTCCCTAACGATATAAAATGACATCAGATCGTGTCCACACGCATATCTCCKAAGATGCCTTCATTTTGAAACATGGAATTCAMTTCTTTATTCTCGGCTTGCAAGTTACGTCATCGCCGCCATGTTGGATGACGATTACAAATCATCCTCATTAAGCGCCGTTTACACGAGCAATTTTTCCTTGACAAGCTTTCCTTGACAAGCTTTCCTTGACAAGGAAAAATTGCTCGTGTAAATGGGGTAAAATTGACAATTTTTCCTTGTCAAGGAAAAGCCAACATGTTGGCTTTTCCTTGACAAGGAAAAATTTTCAAGGACGAAATTTGCTCGTGTAAATGGACAACAAGGAAAATGTAGCAAGGAAAAATTGTCAAGTAAAACTTGTTGACTATTCACACGGGCAATTTTTCCTTGTCAAGGAAAACTTTTTTTTCGTTTACACGAGCAAAGAAACATTGTCAAGGTAGAATCGTCAAGGAAAACTTGTTACAATTTTTCCTTGTCATGAAACTGCGCTTTATTTTCTCTGCAGTCATTCGTTCATCGTGACGGCCATAGCTTTGTAGTTGTTTATTTCTCAGAGGGTTCCTGGTCATGTGGTTGCACAACAGGAATAGTTAGTTCTTCCTTTATTATATGTGTCATGTTGAAGTTGGGTTTTAAATTAGGTCATACCCGCCATGTTCGATGACTATCAAAACATTCCTTGTTGTTGATTCATCCAACATGGCGGAGATACCTTTGTTAAAATGTTTTCGTACGTAGGATTCATTATAAATACTCAGTTTTGTTCCTTCTACGTGTGTTTTAATATTCCGAGCATTCGGACAACTTGTCCATCATCAGGAGATACCTTTGCACATTTTTTTCTTTTTTTTATTAGGTTTAAACACATATTAACCTGGCATTTAAACGCAAATTTGCTTCCTTGCTTTTTTGTGCATGCGCGATTATGCTAGCCTCCTTTACAGCCGTTATTAATATCGGTCATAAGTTTCCTCTCACCTTATTACCGATACTAATAACGTCTGCAAAGGAGGCTAGAGTATGCCGTTTAAATTTATTTTCATGCGATGGTAATGATGTGAGGCGTACTTTTGCTATGTCATAATGACGTCACAGTATGTTTACATTGTGGATAGATGCTCAGACAGACTCGAAATTTGGACCTATAAATATTCTTTCCGAAAGTAGAACTTTAGTGTATTGAGTTTTCACGTACATCATTTATCAACGATTGTTCATTTAACATTAAACTTTTTTTTTATATGTGTTCATTTTGATCCTCTCTGGCGAATGTTTTGGTGTGGCATAATTATGCGGTAGATCAATTATGCGTTAACGCAATTCACCTTAACAGACTCTGTTTGGTAAAATCTAAACTACTTGAATCAATTGATGTTTTCAACTTTATTTTAATTCCCTTTTATGCATATTTGACAATGAAAAAAATATAATCACATTTATTTTTCTGTTCGCCACAAATATCTTGTTCCGTTGCAATTCAGGAATATTAGCACCGTTTGTCATCACCAGCAGAGAATGTACATTCTGAAAAAAAGGGTTAGTTTAACTTAGTATTGTTACTAAAAGGCCAGCATTTAAGAGGGCTTTGTGTATTTCGACTTGTCAGGAGGCCCAACACAGGCAGCCCAACTATTTCTATAATCAGTTAAAACACACCTTTGATTCAATAGTGAAACTCTTKCCATAATCTGTCTGTCATTTGTTGAGACGCTCGCTTAGCAGGTCGTTGGGTTTCAGAAAACAAGTCCTCCATTTCTCTTGCTTCTAAATTTGGACTAAGTTTTGGTTGTCTYCGCCAACTTCGCTTTCCACGTTGTGCGGGAAATTTCAAAGGAAATGMAGCCATTGAACACATAAATAGACACGAAAAACATAAAACTAGAAGAGCAACGGAGAGTTTCATTGTGTTGATCTGCAATAAATAATATAAAAAGAAGTAAAGTTTGTGAGGTAGAATATATTAAAAGCAATCGATAATTATCGATAATTAAATTTATTAGTAACGGCAGCTTTTTATTTCATACGACACGATTTTACGGTTACTCAAGAGTCCACTTTAACTACCCTTTGCGCATCCCATAAATCCTTACGAGAAAAAAAAATGAATTAAAACGGAGGCTACGTTGTTAGAAAAATCTGATATAAAATTCTGCACTCATCTTGTTAGACTGAATTGATTTTTTTTAAGTTAATAATCTTTATTCGAACTAGTTTCTCTAATTTTCGCTGCAGATCGGGAATACCAGTCTTTAAAATGAATTTAAATCTTCCGTCAAATGAAATATCAATTTATAAAACGTTAAATTCATGTTACGTCATAAAAGATAAGAGCTTTCCAGGTTTCATACAAAAAAATGTCTGCTATGAACGCTCTCTTTTTGAACTAAATATGTCACCTCCTCAACAAATATTATTAATAGTTATCGCGAAAATTCAAACGTCTTCTTTCGTTCTTTCATATTATGTTTTTTGCMCTTGAGCTAAACTTCCCATAAAATCATGTCTTATTTAAAGAAAATGGCTTATTCGTACCCACCTTGAAATTTCTTCCAGTACTCTCTACAAGACTCCAAAAAGTCCACTTATAAGTAACGCTCAGCAACGGCTATTTTATATTATATTTATACATGTGCAATTCACATGGTATTGTTTACATTAATGGCATAAAAAAATACCCTTAAGGTTTCAACCAATTAAACGAATTCCGTTTCCTGCGCGTTGGTTTTGCTCTTCGGTAGCCATAAGAGGTTAGGAAACAAACTTGCATAGATCCTGCCCAGTGTGTTTAATGTAAATAWCGCTATACCRACACTTGTTTTTGCGTCAGTTTAGCCTTTTTTAGGAGCGGTTCACGGTGAGGTTTCCTAGTCTTTTAGTCAACAAAGAGTAACTCTAAAAAATAATCTTTGCCAAAGATTTAATTATTAAAATGTACAGGAGCAAACTAGATCTAAACGAGGAGGAGGGAAGAARTTGTTAGAGCTAAATTGTAAACAATTCATAATTATTTGCTCGAAGGCGGACCTATTTTGATTTGGAGTAGTCAAAACCACACCTGTAAAAACCTTTCTACCCAATGTTTTGCCAATTTTATCAGCCAGATAATTGAATTCATTACTAGAGTGTACCGAATTTTGATATATCGGCGTTGTCTCTTGAAAAACGTAACGTTTGTTAGGTCGCCTCACGGTTATTTTCAAGGAGTTAAAATCACTCCACCAGTGAAGTTAAAATTACTCTACCTGTAGGGTAACTTTAAAGAGAGTTAAATCTACTATACAATRCGAGTAGCTTTTACTCCARAAGTTTAAATCAACTCGGAAAGAGAGCAAACTTACTTCAAAAGGGGTTCAAAATTGCTTTTAGAAGAGAAGTCAAGATTATTCCCCCAGGTGCAGTTAAATTTGGTGGAGTTAAATCTACTCAAGAAAAGGAGTTATCTGGTACCCTTTTTAAAAACTCCTCTTTTGGAGTTATATACGCTTTACTAACATTTTGAATAGTCAAAAACTACAAGGAAGAGTACTAGAAAGTAATTGTTAAAAATAGCGTTGAGAYTGTGGAAAGTGGAGTCTTGCATGAATCCAGCTTTAAACTATTCTCTTATAATGAGGAAATGCTAGTCTAACCACAATTAAAACACATCTGTGCTTTAAACTAAATTTATAGACTTTCTTTACAGTTTTAATTATATAATTAGAAACTGGAAAATATCCTCAGGGTTGGAAAAATTGGCCGTTCGACTCCCTGGCTAAGTGTCGGTACTTTTAACGGTTCTCAAAACAGGATAAGCCACATATAACACCATGATGAGAGTATTCCGTAGTTGTCGATATCTGCACGTAAGTACAAAGGAAGCTATGAGTGTGTGCGTAGTTTTGAATCCCCATGTTCCCATGCACTCACTTTTGAACAAAATWATTTTTATAAGAAATCATGTAMATGTRCAACACTATCCAATGTTTAAAACAATTCACAAATTAAAGATAATTTTTCGACAGCMACGTGTGTCTTTGTTATCCAGGTAAACTGACTCAATAGAGTACTTATAGATGGGCTGTACTTTGTAATCAAAGGAAGTATATACTTGTATTTCGTATAAGACTTGCGGAATTTTATGAATAGATCTCTTCAGTGACTGTCCGTTTTAGAGAACACGTTGTAGAGTAGAGTTTTAGTTTCTAGAGAAAAAGATGCATACAATTTGTATTTGTGCATAATTATGAACTTTACACTGTACAGCAACCGTTTAAGGAACAGCTACGCAAATTTATGTGGTAATTAAACTCCAGTCATCCTGATTTTAAGGCACTTTCAACTAAGTTAGTCCACTATCTCCATTGAAAAAAAGTATAATAATAAAAAAGGTAGAAATATATGCTATTTTTTGTAAAACGTAAGGTTTCTTAGCTTTAGTAGAAAGAAAGTGTCAGATCGATATAATCCCCACTCCCCCCCCCTAAAAAAAAACCTCTATTTCGTTTCAATGGCAATTTAGTGACGTTAGTGAAATCAATCTGTTTTTTAGCAAKTACCAAAAAATCTCTGTCGTTCAGTAAACTGTGAAAATTTCTAACATTGGGAATCCTGGAAATGATCTCAGCAACCGGTAGGGAAGATGCGAACAAAACTCGTTAACTTTAAACACGAAACATTCAAATCAATCAGTTCCCTGCTCGTCACCGTTGGTATCACTGAAGCCGACCTTCATTGTCCTTGCCGACTTCCAACAAATATTTTTTCAGCTGCTAAAAATTTAACCTTGAATCAATAACAAATCTCTACTCTGAGGAAAAGAGAGTTGTGATGAAGTCCAAAATGATTATGGGTTACACTCAAGTCAACCCGGCCTATGAATCTGGTGAACGGTGCTTTAGCTAACAACAGAATAATCTTACGCAAAGACGTCGGCGAAAATCAAAAATTATATTTTCTCTGGTCGGTCAAGGCAGGATGGCTAATTCAAGCACATAATGCCGGTTTTTTTCCTTTAAAAAAACTCAAGTTATTGATATATATCTCATGGAAATTGCTGCTTATTTTAAAACACAAACAGATACATTTCGCTGCAATGAAAACACAATCACGTGAGTGACAGTCATCCCCAAGCCTCTCCTTCGTAATTTCTATGTTACATTCTCTTTCGCACCTTATTGTTTCAAAAGCCTCAACACGGTCACTAGATTTTCGGGTAGGTTTTGTACGAATTTATGTCGATTAAAGACGACATTTTGCAACGATAAAAACCTATATAATACCCAAACGGTGTCATATCTTGATAATTCAGTTCCAGTAGTTCTCGACATTTTTTATTTAGCTTCAGTGAATTCATTTTTCGTTGGAGAATTTAAGCGTTCAGAGCTTTTTTTAGCTTTAAATGTAAAATTTACCATAGAGATAGTCATGCTATTTTAGGTGGACAGAGAGAATCAACACGCCCCTTGCAGCGTCTGTCAAACAGGTATCAGCTGAGCCAGCATAATAGGTATTACTAAAAGGTATTAAAATTGAACTCATCAAAGATGGTAGTAAGTTAGACTTGCCACAAGTCGACCACACTGTTGGGACACTGATAATTGATAAGCGGGGAAAAACGGACTTTGAGAAAGTCTAGTAGTAAGTATGTCATCACAGCTATGATCTCCGCCATTTAAAACGTGCTTTGGAATAAAATAATCATCGCGAACTGTACGAATCGAATGAAGAGATTGTGATTTTCACCTTTTCTTTGTTCTCGGATGTCCAATTGCTTGATAGACGTCCATACGCAGGCTGACCACAAACAAAGCATTGAACCGAGGCGATAAGGTACACTGGGCATAAAAAATATGGTCTCATTGTTCTTTGATGCCTCTCTTCGATGCTTTGTTCGTGGTCACTGAACYTTGGTAAGAAAWGTCACAAATGAAATAACATTTCAAAGTTTTGCTGTCAAGCTCTCACATGTTGTCTCTTACTAGYTTGACGTTTAGTTCATGGAAGGTCAACACAACCAGAAAGGTACAACCCACTTTTTTAATTTGACCTTAGCACCAAGGTCCAACAGATAGCACCAAAACAGTAAAACATATTGACTACCAGGAATAGGTGTTTACACAAAATTTTCATCAGAAGTGGSTATCCATTCCAGAAATGACATCRGCYCGTCATTGAGGGCTGTGAAATTTGTTTAGRATACAATAATTYTCGWTTGAAGCTTTTCTTTGTCYARCTTACRCCRCATTACATGATGGACGCATATCTTGAGGTTGGTCAGSTGTACSTTTCACGGTGGATATACCATTCAAAAACCTACAAACCGTGAAACAGGTATTGGATCTATACAGTGTCTGGATAGTCCCASTACAATCAGTGCTGACTTCTCGGCACAGRCARCAACACACACAGATTAAAGGTAAGCYATYTAAAGTAAATATGAACCTCGCTTTTCTATGTAAATTTTGGCCTTTCTCTCAACGAACACAAACATCAGTCCAAGATTAAGTTGATTTCATGTTTTCTCGACACTATAGATTCGAAGATGACCAGACGAGTACTTATTCCTGCAATATTCCTTCTGCTACTCACTATTAWGGCAGAGCTKTGCATATTTTCATTTAAGATTCTGTTCCTTTTCGTTTTCTAACAGAMTCGCTGGTTCAAACCATGAAATTCTTCGTCTCSAAAGTGTTGACGCTGTTTATCTTACTCCCCYTGCTTTSCAATACATTGGCGAAGAAAGGAAYACGACGCTCTCATAATGGTAAGTAAAACGTGATAAAATGAATGAAAGCATCAACAAGTCATTTGTATATATGAAGCTTTTAAATTTTTTTAAAAATATTCAACATAAAGTTCCCAATTTCTTTACAATTTCCATAACTTTAAATTCGATAATCATCAGTACAGCTTAGAATTAAAATTCTTGTTGGGATTTTAAATGTAAAAAAATCTTGTTGCAAATGAATTTGCTTTACGTTTTTTACAACTGAACAACGTTAACGAGGCTGACTGTATCTTTGCACTAGAGAGGAAGGATAGCAGTAACGAGTTGTCGACCGAAGAGAAGAACAGAATCATTCAACTCATGAAGAATCAAGGGAAACCTAATTGGGGCAAGGAGGCAGAAAAGTTGGTCAGAAGATATTTTATCAACCTTAATAACAAAATTGTTCTAGTGCATATGTTTCATAAAAATATACATTTTTCCATACATACAAAAATGAAAAGTAATACCTGTTCTTTATCTCTATGTCAACAAKTTTGAAATTGAAATTATGACAACAGGTTCAAAACTTTAAACACTGCGTGCGGTCCGCCACATTTTCCCAGTTCGCAGTCTAGCATTTTGTCTTTAAGGTATATTTCCRACTAAATGCMTAAAAGGTGGATGAATTAACTCCAAAACTCAGGATGGAACTTGATTTCAAAATTCGAATCAAGCAGTAGGTCTTTAATTCAAAAATTCAATACTTCTTCTGGTGTAAGACCACGTCTTCCCTAGAAATTCAAACCCTGAATGCATTAAACAAGAGTTTGATTATCGTTAGTTTGTTGTTAGTCATGTGTTATCAACACTGGTGCAGTAGCCTTTTTACATCTGACATTTCCTTCAAATCGATATGATTWTCACAGGGAAAAGAAAGGGCAGAAAAAATGAAAGCCTCTGGCCTATTGCAACTTCCAACGCCACCAGGCAAAGATGCTTCCAACTCCACAGCTCTTCACACTGAATCTGGTTAGTTTGATGACGACGCTTAAATTCAATCTTGATATCATTATAGGGTAATGCTATACTCCTGGTTTTAAAAAGGGCTGTGCAGTTTCCAAATGATTATTTCATTGGAGCAGATGAGAAGATTTTTGACTATTATAAAAGTCGAATATTGCATTAACATGTATGTGGTAACATTTCCATGACATTACTCCTTGGAAAACGACATTCAGTGCATGCTATAATTTACATAGAAGACCATAATTTCGGCTTACCGCTTTCCGTTTTCTTACCTTACACGATGGTAATCTTCTCTGTGTGCATTGATGTCATTTATCAGCATCCTGCAGTTGTGATCTTTGTTTTTGCATCATTCTATTCACAGGGGCGTCAACAGCGCTTCCAACAGAAAATATAMAGAAACTCACGGATAGGCTATCAAGATTTGTKGGCCCATTGGCAAATCGAGTTAAAAATTCAGTCTCAGGTCTCAGCAGTAAGTGGAGCARCCTCGAAGACGATGACCGTGTAGGCATTGCAGGAACACTTGGGGTTATAACAGGCAGTATTGACGCATTTGGCAGTGCTGGATCAAATCCCGTAGGAGCGTTCAAGGCAACAATCGACATCATTGGATCAATATCCAGTAATTTCGGACCAAAAGGTCAGCTCCTCAGCATGGGTCTTGGTTTCGTCTCATCTCTGTTGGGATTATTTGGTAAAAAGGGTCCAAAACCGAAACCCATGTCTGAAGTTGTCAGAGAGCAGATAGACGAAGCTCTAGATAAATATCGTAATGAGGAGCTCACTTCTGAAGCAAATGGGATGGTAAGAGCATTTAGAACCCAAAAAGCTTACTTAGACGGAGCAGCAGAGTCGGGTAATCCACTCAATTTGGACGAGCTGCAGTTTGCAACGTCTACTGTTATCGTCACTGATGGATTACCCTTCATGGGAAAACTCTACACTATCATAGAAAAGATGTTTAAAGAGAATTCAGATCAAAAGTCAGCTCCACAAAAATGCATCCAATATTGTGAGCTTTACGCTAAAATGCAAACCCTCAAAGACTTGATCTTAACACAGTTCATCTCCATGGCATCGAACGTCCCAAATATCGAAAACCATGTCAATGGACTAATAGGTATGCGAGAGGACTTGAGACTTGGGACAAAGTTTCTTTTCGAAAAACTCTACACCATTGATTACTTCAGCAAAATAATGCCGTACTTTGACCCTGACACTAGCAAGGTAACAGACGCATATTCAACGGTTTTGCTTGATCTAGGTAAATACGATCGTTCCATGTCTGGCCTGTATTGCATTCACTACGCTCCCAAGAAYAAAGATCTTACTTGGGAATATAGTGATAGCAAGTTTAGGGTCGGAGGCAATCCATACACCCTCGCAGAAAAGAGCCCAAGCAATGACAACTGCTATTGGAAGCTTGTGCCACACGGAAACTCCATATTCAGCATTAGGAACAAATTCAAATGTAATAAGGACAACAAGAAGAAATGTGAAGGTGCAATGTTGTCTTATGACGGTGGAAATGTTATCTATGTGAACATCGACGTTGTAGACCCCGGTTTATGGGAAATTGTGGGCAATAACTGGAGAGGGTAAGTAAGACTCGGCTGCTGCTCGAACTGGAACTAAGTGCTAGGACTTTAAAATCACTTCAAGTACTCTTTGAAACTCTTTTAAAGATTACTTAGGATCATAATTAAGTAGACCTTTTCAAAAAAGGAAAATTAATTGCAGCGTGTTTAGGCTCAATACAAGCAGAGGTTCAATACAAGCAGAGCGATAATTGTCTATTGCCTAGTACTTTTATTAAAATACTATTTCATGTAGAGAATCCTATTTGCCCAAAATTAGTACGAGTATATATACGGTATATACGGAGATGATTTTTTGGCATGGCTTATGCTAAACATAGACCTTAAGCTTTACTAAATTTTCCAGTTCATGCATCATCTACTCTATTATATACAGAAAACGCAAAGGCTTAGGTATAAAGGTAAGCATAACATCAAGTAGCGAACATGTTTGGTTCTCTTTGAGTTTATGTTCAGTGAGAATAGAGTTTATGATATGCTTATCTTTACGATTTTGCTTATGCCTGATGACAAGAAGTGTTTTAACAGAGTTTACTTTGATCTGGAAAAGAGAAACATTATACTTCTATGTTATAATAACATTATAATATATATATAATAATTTATTATGGCAATATTATCTATTGATTTCTTGAAGAATCCGAAACAAATGGCACTGTCCGTCTGACGCCAATTGCGGAAAAGATCTGAGAATAGTAGGCAGAACGGAGAAAAAATGGGTTCATTATGGAAACGTGATTAGTAGAGAAGAACCTTATACGAAAAGAGTGGGCGTACTACTTTCWCGCGATGGCAAATTATATTGGAAGCTCAGAAAGGTACATATCTTATATATATTTTTGACATTTCCGATTTAACTTGATGATGTATATGTTCATCATTTCAAATGTAACTTTATTTCACTGAAAGCTCAAGAACGGGCTTGCTTCAGTGCAAAYGCACKRCCATCTTGCACTTAAATATGGCGCTGGGAATTGTTAAAAAGAATTTTAGCTTTATTGAATGCATCTTAAAGGGACATGGTSCTCGAGCATCCCTTTCGAGCTTTTGCGCATGTTCGCAAATGTTATAAGCARGCACTTACTTTTTATTATCCCTATATACTATATGAATGGAGATACTGTAAGATTTGACCTTTAAACAGATGAATGAAAAGGGATTGCGAATGGATATTCAAAGTCGCATCATTTTCCATANTCCCATAATTTCTAAGGCTATTTTGATATATATGAATATTAGTGTAGGGGGGTCAGAATTATTGCAAACGGCTGTATTATCCTCTTTTACCAATATACTCATAATTCCTTTAGCGAACTTGAAACACAGCATAGTTCTTGCTGCACGGTCAGTATATACAAGAATGAGTAGATGAGCTGTACTTTATCTGGAAATGGAAAATGTAATCTGGAATTGGAATTTTCGCATGCATCGAAGAAGAAGAAGAAGTTCCTTTAGCGAACTTGAAACACAGCACAGCTCTTGCTACACGGTCAGTACATACCAGAATGAGTAGATGAGCTGTACTTTATCTGGAAATGGAAAACGTAATCTGGAATTGGAATTTCCGCATGCATCGAAGAAGAAGAAGAAGTTTTTAAACTTTTAAAAAAGTGTAATAAATTCACCTGGATCTAAATAAAGGAAAACAAATAAATCATTTATAATATGCCTGTGATTTCTTATATCTTTGCCTTGATACACTTCCTTTATAGTAGGTATGCCGCCAAATGTCAAAGTCTCCAACAAAGACATGCGACTCGACTTGTATCCCTCCATTTTCAATAATCTCATTCAGGTTCTTTACCAATTATTGTTTGAAAGTTAACATCATATCACTAATATYAATCAATTTACACATAGATTCGATACTATTCCCGACTATACTCGAATTTTAATAACAATCATCACAATAGWTCAATCCCTAATTCGCTTGGATGAACAAGAAACAATGGCTTYATTTCGAGGCTTGAGTTTTCRACAAAAKATAAAAGTCCAGCMTTGAAATGAAGCCATTGTTTCGTGTTCATCCAAGACGAATTAGGGATTGGTTTRTTAAAAAGATGCAACTGCTCTTTTTCGCACCWTGTTGTACCTAAAGCCTGAATTYGACGCACAATTCAACTCACGGTCACTACGTTTTCTGGAAAGCTTTGTACGAAGTTATATCGATTATGACGACATTTTGCAACGATTACAATGAATATAACGAATATATATCTTGATTATCCAGTTCCAATAGCCCTCGTTATTTTTTCGATTAACTTCATTGAATTCAGTTTTCGTTGCAGAACATTTATTAAGCGTTCAGAGTTTCTTTGTTTAAGCTTTGAAATGTACCATGAAGATAGTCATGGCAGTTTATAGGTCCGCCACAGAGAATCAACGCCACTTCCGGCGCCTGTCAAACAGGTATTAGCTAAGCCATAGAACATAATAGGAATAACTAAAACGTATTAAAATTGAACTCCTCAAAGATARTAGTAACTATGTCATCACAGATATGATCTCCCCCATTTTAAATGTGCTTTGGAATAAAATAATCATCTCGAACTTTGCTAATCGAATGAGGAGATTGTAGTTTTTCACCTTTTCTTTGTTCCCTGATGTCCAGTTGTTTGATGACATAGTTCATGGTTAGTTGACACTATAAAAAAAACGATCGCATGTCTGACACGCTTTATTTCAGCGGGTGAAATAAATGTATAGAAACCATAATTATAGACTATGAGTTAAACAAAGTCTTCAAGAGTGGCGATCGATTTTCTTGCCTTGGGCTAGCAATTCGATCATTTTGAAGAAATTTGATTTTTCTATCAAATGGAACATTTACAATCATACACTGGGTCAATGACCACAAACAAAGCATTGATCCAGGGCGACCAGGTACACTTGTTCCTTGAAGCCTCGCATCGATGCTTTGTTCGTGGTCACTGAACCAGGGTATGGRAAGTTACAAGCAATAAAATAACATTTCAAAGTTTTGCTGCCAAGCTCTCATACGTTCTCCAAAATAGTAAAACATATRTTGACTACCAGGAAGAGGTGTTTAAAAACTCTCATCAGTGGCTATTCCATTCCAGAAATGACATCGGCTCGCCATTGAAAGCCAGGAAATGTATTTAGAATGCAACTATTCTCGAGAGAAGCTTTTTCTTTGTCTAACKTACATCGTAATACTTGATGGACGSATATCTCGAGGTGGGTCAGGTGTACCTTTCACGGTGGATACGCCACTCAAAAACCTACAAACCGTGAAACAGGTATTAGCTCTATACAGTGTCTGGATAGTCCCAGTACAGTCAGTGCTGACTTCTYGGCACAGGCAACAACACACACAGATTAAARGTAAGCCATTTAAAGGGAATATGAACGTCGCTTTTTCTATGTAGATTGTGGCCTTTTCTGAACTAACACAAACATATCAGTGAATGATTAATTAAGTGATGAATTGATTGAGGTTTCGTGTTTACTCGTCGACTTGAAGCAAAAAAAAATGATCAGATCAGTATTTATTTCTGCTATATTCCTTCTGTTACTCAATGTCATAGCAGAGCAGTACGTGTTTTCATTTTAGATTTTTTTACTTTTCGTTTTCTAACAGAAACGCTGGTTCAAACCATGAATTTCTTCGTCTCGAAAGTGTTGACGCTGTTTATCTTACTCCCCCTGCTTTGCAATACATTGGCGAAGAAAGGAACACGACCCTCGCATAATGGTAAGTACAACTTGATGAAATGAGTGAAAAGGATGACCACATAAAACACTAACAAAGCTTTTTTTCATATATCAAACCTTCAAATTCTTTCCAAGAATATTCAATATACAGTCCTAAAGTTTTTTTGCAATTTCCATAATTTTCAACTCGATAATCATCAGTACAGCTTAGAATTACAATTATTGTTGGGAATTTATATTTGAAAAAATCTTGTTATGCAAATGAATTTGCTATTGTATTTATGTTTTTTTACAACAACAACGTTAACGAGGCTGACTGTATCTTTGCACTAGAGAGGAAGAAAAGCAGTAATGAATTGTCGACCGAAGAGAAGAACAGAATCATTCAACTCATGAAGAATCAAGGGAAACCTAATTGGGGCAACGAGGCAGAAAAGTTGGTAAGGAGATATTTTATCATCAACCTTTTAAAATAGAATAACTATAATTTATTCTAGTGTATATATTAAAAAAATATATAGATTTTTCATGCAAAAAWGAAAAGTATTACTTTTCTTTCTTGTATAAAAAGTTTTATTGAAGCAATGACAACAGGTTCAACTTTGTGATACTACTTTACACCCTGCGTGCGGTCCGCTGCGGGTTCGCAGACCGCAAGTTCCAACGTTTAACCTATATTTCCGTTGTTTAAAGGCATAAAATTGAGGTAGATGCATTTATATAAAGTAGCAGTTAAAACTGGATATRAATTCAAATTCGAATCCAACAGGACGTCTTTAATTCAAAAAATTCACAACTCGTCCAAATGTGAGACAATGTCTTCCCTGGAATTTARAACSTGCACATGCATTGAACAATTGGAAAGGATCTCGTTAACTTGTTGTCATTGGTCATGTGCTATCAGCACTGGTACAGTAGCCTTTTTACATTTTAAATTTCCTTAAAATCCATATGATTTTCACAGGGAAAAGAAAGGGCAGAAAAAATGAAAGCATCTGGCCTATTGCAACTTCCAACTCCACCAGGCAAAGATGCTTCCAACTCCACAGCTCTTCACACTGAATCTGGTTAGTATGATGACGACGCTTAAATTCAATCTTGATATCAWTATAAGTTCATGAATGTTTTAACAAAGGGCTGCCAGTTTCCAAATGATTACTTCATTGCTTCAGAAGATTTTTGGCTATTCTGAAAGTCGAATCTAAGTTTTCATAAACATGTATGTGGTAATATTTCCATAACATACTCCTTAAAAGAGTATGTTCAGTGCAGGCTATTTACATACAAGAACATAACATCATATCAGTACTAGCTTTCCTGTGTTCCCTTGTAATCTTCTGTGTGCATTGATGTCATGTATCAGCATCTGCTTCAGTTGTGATCTTTGTTTTTGCATCATTCTATTCACAGGGGCTTCAACAGCGCTTCCAACAGAAAATATAAAAAAACTCCAGGATAGGCTGTCAAGATTTGTTGGCCCATTGGCAAATCGAGTTAAAAATTCAATCTCAGACCTCAGCAGTAAGTGGAGCAACCTTGAAGACGATGAACGTGTAGGYATTGCAGGAACACTTGGGGTTATAACAAGCAATATTGAAGCATTTGGCAATGCTGGATCTAATCCCGTAGGAGCGTTCAAGGCAACAATCGACATCATTGGATCAATATCCAGTAATTTCGGACCGAAAGGTCAGCTCCTAAGCATGGGTCTAGGTTTCGTCTCATCTCTGTTGGGATTATTTGGTAAAAAGGGTCCGACACCAAARCCCATGTCTGAAGTTGTCAGAGAGCAGGTAGATGATGCTCTAGCGGAATATCGTGATGCGGAGCTCACTTCTGAAGCAAATGGAATGATAAAAACATTTAGAACCCAAAAGGCTTACTTAGACGGGGCAGCAGAATCGGGCAATCCACTCAATCTGGACGAGCTGCAGTTTGCAACATCTACTATTATCGTCACTGATGGAATACCCTTCATGGGAAAACTCTACACTATCATAGAAAAGATGTTTAAAGAGAATAAAGAGGAAGATTCAGCTCCTCACAAATGCATCCAATATTGTGAGCTTTACGCTAAAATGCAAACCCTCAAAGACTTGATCTTAACACAGTTCATCTCCATGGCATCRAACGTCCCAAATATCGAAAACCATGTCAATGGACTAATAGGTATGCGAGAGGACTTGAGACTTGGGACAAAGTTTCTTTTCCAAAATCTCTACACCATTGATTACTTCAGCAAAATAATGCCGTACTTTGACCCTGACACCAGCCGCGTAACAGACGCATATTCAACGGTTTTGCTCGATCTAGGTAAATACGACCGTTCCATATCTGGCCTGTATTGCATTCACTACGCTCCCAAGAAYAAAGATCTTACTTGGGAATATAGTGATAAAAATTTTAAGGTCGGAGGCAAACCATACACCCTCGCAGAAAAGAGCCCAAGCAATGACAACTGCTATTGGAAGCTTGTGCCACACGGAAACTCCATATTCAGCATTTGGAACAAATTCAAATGTAATAAGGACAACAAGAAGAAATGTGAAGGTGCAATGTTGTCTTTTGACGGTGGAAATGTTATCTATGTGAACATCGACGTTTTAGACCCCGTGTTATGGGAAATTGTGGGTGATAACTGGAGAGGGTAAGTAAGACCGCGATTTGGATTGAATTTGAATATCCGTTAAGTGCGCTTTGAAGGTTTTTAAACATTACTTCAGATAATAATTGTATAGACCTTTTCAGAAAAGCAAAAACATGCATGTTGTATCGTGTTCTAGCTTCCGTACAAGCAGCACCATGTTTGTACTAAAGGCTACTGCTTAATGCTTGATGCTATTCAAATGGGCCCTTGGCCGAAATTAGTGAGTACAATATAYAGGAATGCCTTTTGACATGGTTTAAGCTAACTATAGAGCACTAGCACTACTAAATTTTCCAGTTCAAAGCGTATATCTACTCTATTATGCAGACAACGAATAAGCTATCGATAAAGGTAGTAAGCATAGTTATTCACTAAGGAGAGAACATGTTTGCTTSTTTTGTGTTATGTTCAGTGAGAACAGAGTGTCTGATGACAAGAAACGTTGTAACTGAGGTTGTCCGTTCTGAACTGGAAACCAGAAACATTATATACGTCTACATTATATAACAACATTGTACATTTCAATATTATCTGTTGGTTTCTTGAAGCATCCGAAACAAATGGCACTGTCCGTCTGACGCCAATTGCGGAAAAGATTTGAGAATAGTAAAGAGAACGGAGTACAAAACCTTCCGTCTTGGAGCGAACCCGTTTTTTAGAAAATTACCTTACTCGAAACAAGTAGGCGCACTACTTTCACGCGATGGCAAAAATTATTGGAAGCTCAGAAAGGTACATATCTTTATATATATTTGACTATATTTCATTTGCCTTGATGATGGGTATGCTCATCTTTGTACCCAGCACTGTACGTTATATTGAGATTACATGTTTTATAAACAACATTGTTTTGCTTTTTATGCTGTTCCCAGCGCCATCTTAAAAGATAGTAACGGGGACTTGAAGCGACATAATCAGCCAAACTATTTTTCCTAGTTACCTATATATCACTAAAAGGTCAAGGACATGCCCACTTYAGTGCAAGAGCATGGCCAGCTTTCACCATGTTCACTTCAATATGGCGCTGGGAATTGTTGAAAGAGCATTAACTCCATTGAATGCATCTTAAAGGGACATGTTCCACCAGCATCACTTTCGAGCTTTTGCTAATGTTTGAAAGTAAAAATACACCGTAATATATGCAAACACTTGCTCTTTATCATCCCTTTAWATTACATGATTCATTATCTTTTTTAACCAAATCTACTCATAATTTCTTTAGCGGCGAAMTTGAAACACGGCACAGTTCTTGCTGCACGGCCAGTACATACCAGGATGAGTAGATGACCTGTACTTTTTCTGGAAATGGAACATGTTGCCTGGAATTGGAATTGCATGCATCGAAGAATATGTAAAAGTGTACTAAATAGATAAAGGAAAACAAATAAAGCATTCAATATGGMTGTGATTTCTTATGTTTGCCCTCCGTTTTATTTCATTTTATACATTTCTGGTACCATAAAGCAGCTAAATTTCAAATTCTACCATTGTCTGTAGTACAGTGATTGACATGACTTGCCTCCTTCCATATTCAGTTGGAATAAAGTCAACTTTGACCTAAAGCATGGAGGTTGTCATCTGTCCATGCATATCAACCCGATATGCAACAGATGCTCAGATGARGGCACTTCTTTTGGACATGTTTCTTATAGAGGCACTCTGCAATATTTGTCAAGAGGGATGGTTTGGAAATGAGCCAAAAAATCAAAAAAGTTAATTACTACTAATTTCTTTTTTTGACAAAATATTAAAAACCCAACATATTTCGACTATATAAAAATAAATTAGTGATTTCGAGAAAAAAAATTCGAACCGCAAAAATTTTTTTCGGGCATTTGTTAAAGGAAGCCCGAGCTCGAATCTCAAWATATACCCTTACTCGGGCTTCCTATCTGAAATCTTTTAGCTTTTTAGATGGTTCCATGAGGTCTAATTATTCAATTAGATTGTACTATATTTGATTTCACTTTCTAATCGGAGAGGTTTCAGTGATCTCGAAAAAAAATCGAACCGCACACGCGCAAAAGGTAATTTTGGCGGTCATTTCTTAAAAGAAGCCCGAGCTTGAAATCTTCGTATTGCGTCATCTGAWAATTGAGTGCATTCAAAAGATGGCAAGCACAGAAAAAAAAGCTATTTTGAAATTTCATCTTTGGTGTTCGGCCAGGGCAAAGTGATTTTAATCCGGTTAATGAATAACGTTCCTGGCGAGACAGCAGTGGCTGGTACAACAAGGACAGCGGTAGTAAATTCAGCAACAACCGCTCGAGTAACGATCATTTGGATGAATTTCGTAAAATCAAGTGCTTTTTAGTGTCTAAGAGGACATTTCAGTGTATATTTCAGATAAGTAAAACTTTACAATTTATTATCGACTATCTTATGTTGGATAAATTAAGCAATTTTTGGATCTTATAAGTCATAATTTCAGTTCTAGCGCCCTTGCTCAGACTGACTAGATGCCGTACTAAATGGCACATTATTGTTGTCATTACTAATGGCTTCTTTTTGGCAAGACATGGAGGATCCTGYCATCCTGATTTCGCTAAATTGCGACATGAAAAAAATAATATGAAAAAGGATAAAGTCGTCGCATTTTAGGTGACCGTGCTGCAGGACTGGACCCGGTAATAGACGATTATAAAACAGCTAACTTACCCCCACCCCCCGAAAACAATTAATAATCTGTCCCATGGGAGTATTAATATTTATTCATATTAGATACCATAGAAGTGTTTTGAATATACAAAGCCCTTAACAATGATTACAAGTCGTTTGTACAGCATAAAAAAGAGTTTGCCGTCAGCTTTAAGCGTAGATTTTCCTACAACTTTAGCAAGCATGAAACAGTAGACTCAAACGTTATATAACGACAGTAGACAGAGTCAAGCTTCGGGTCGAGTGGGTCGCTAGTTCATAA